CTTGTACTAAGATTTGACTGTTGCAAGATGTACTCCAGCAGCGGGCTAGAGGGTCCGAAGCGAAAACACAACCGCGGAAAACAATTGAAATCGACCAAGCTAACCTAGGGAAAGTAGCGTAGTGGCATTGTCCATCAGGGCACCGCTCACAGCCTGGAATGCAACCGCAGGGACCCCGCTTACTCAGAATTCGGCGGTTCGTGCGCCGCCCTCCCGACATCGTTCTCAGCCGCGCCCGCGCCCAGGACGGTGGCACCTTTATTCCACAGTCTCTGGGCCGGCCCGAGGCCGACCATTTCTACGACGCCCACGCGGGCAGGCCGCCGGCCCTTCGAACGGAGGCGGAACAAGTCAGGCAAGGTGTGGTCGGGCACGGTCTTCGCAAGAGTGGACAGGATGGCCCATTGGATTCTGACATGAGGACGAGCACCATGCGCATCCCGCGCGGCAGCAGCAACGACAGTTGAGCGCCCCGAGCCTCCTCCATTCCGCTCCTCCTAAAGGTGCTCCGCGAACGCCTGGCTCATCCATTGCTCAGGGTATCGCCGCTCCTGCGGTGGAACAGCGAGTCTGCATTTGCCCCTCCCTTCCCCCCCCTTCGAGCACTGGTGGAACCGTGCGAACGCGCGCCTGAATGCAAGGATCGTTTGGCGCGCCATCCGAGCACATGCAGCAACGGCGAGCATGGCCAGAAATTTAACCTTCGGGCTGTCCCACTCGCGCCCTTCAGCCAAGCGGCGACGCTGAGAGCGCGAATCGGCCCGCGAAACAATTGGCGCCAGAGCTCCGATCTCCAGGTCCAGAGCCAGCTTCGGCGGCGGTAGGCATTGCGTGACATCGCTGAGAACTGGGGGCCCACGAGTCTGGTAGAAAAGCCCAGAGGTCGAAGTCGCAGGGGCCCCATGGCCACAGGCATCTGCCCGACGCTGGCACTAACTGCGCGTCGCCTGCCAGGGGACCTCGCGTCGAGTCCCAGAGCCCGCCCACATCCGCGGCAAAAAGCTCGTCGGCAACTTGGAAAGTGGACTATAGCCAAGGGCGCGCGCGCGGCGCACGCGGAGATGCTCGCGCACGCGCCCCCTCGAAGCCGGAGAGAACTGCGACGCAGCGGGGGCGATGAAGCACGCGGTTGGCTTGAGCTACGCGCGCGCCGCGAGCGCCGCGACTCGCGTGACCCTGAAACGCGGCCGAATAGCTTTCGAAGGTTTGAGGGCCCCCCCATATCATGATCCGCCGCGACGGCAACTCGATCGAGGACTTCAGGTCCAGGGGGGCCGGGGCGAGGGCAAGGGCGGACAAAGACCCAGACGGCGCGTCTCCTTGGGGAATGCCGAGCGAATCCAAAAGGCGTGCGTAGACCCCCCACGCGCGGGATGACCTCTTCGACGATCGCCACGGAGTGCGAGGCCCAAGGGCGGCCCGTCGAGCGGAGGACGAGCAGCAAGTATCCCAGCGAATGGCTGGGAAACGCGCGCTGGTAGTCAAGAGCGCAAACTGCAGGGCGATCCCCATCTGCTTCGCGCCGACGCCGGTGCGCCCTAGCGGTCGCGTCCACTTCGGCAATGTTCAACGGCGCGGAACCCATTCCTCTCGCGGGCCAACATCCGAGCACAATGTTCCAGCGCCTGCAACCCCCGATGGATGCGCGTTCCTCCGCCGCCACCGCCCCGTTGCCGCGACTGCCCAAGCGAGAGCAAAGTTCATCGAGATCGAGGTTTGCGGCGGTCAGCTCCGCACTGTTGCGCAGCGCCTGGGAGGGCGCTGCGCACGCGAGCCCCGCTCGAGCGCCCGGCGTCGCTAGAGAGTCTGCTGCGGCTCGATGAAAACCCGCAATCCGCTCAGCGGCCTGGGTATGTTGGCGCCAAGCTGCGCCTGCGATAACACGAGCGACCTGCAGAAACGACCGCGGATCCTTCGGGCAGCGATAGAGGATGAGGTCGCGCGCCTCCCGTCACAAGACGCGCATGGCACTCCAGTCTCGGGTTCGAGCTCACCTGCTGGGGGGCTGGCTTCTCATGCGCTGAGATCTTAGACTCGGTATATCTGAACGTCTTAGACTTACAGTTCCGTTCACGTCCCCGGCGGTCTCCAGGTGTCAAAAGTTTGCGATGCCAGAAAAGAGCGACATGAGCAGCGCGGGGACTAATTGTCTGACGAAGTGCGGCCTCGGGGCCCCTTGCCAGCATCGCAATCGTCGCCCTCTGCGCGAGAGCCCCGACAGGCCGTGGGCACCAGGACCTGCCAATGGCAGCCGCAGCGTCGGCGCTCGCATCGCAGTGCGCGGCCGAGTCGCACGCGGCTGCGACTGGCGCATCGAGCGCGGTCACCCGCAGAGGGGCGCGAGCATGGAGAAGCCGCGGGCCCCTCTGGGTTTCAGATGGCCACGCGAAGCCTTTTTTCCCACAAGGGCAAGCCTTAGATCACCATACGCCAGAACTAGACGCGTTTCAGGGATGGCATCGGACGATATCGGACGCAACTCTATCCTGTGGTATCGCGCCGCTCGCGTCCCGAATGGAATTCGCAGATAACTCCGAATGGAATTCGCAGATAACTCGCGTCTGTGAACATTCCATCGGATCAGAAAGGTCGTCGGCTCGCTGAAGCTAGCGCGCCAGAAGCGGCCACCGAAATAAACGGCGACAGAAATCCGGCCGCCATTGGCGATCAGCCTGAGAAATAACACGGCACCCCCAATGCGCCCAGCGCGATCCTCGAAACCACAGGGAGAGCCTTCGGGAAGAAGTTACATAATTGGCAAGGGGTCTCTGCAAAACTCCCGGAGCGCAGCAATTGACGAGCCTGCGCGCAGACGCATCAAATATCCCAGCGCCACCTGCGCATGGGCACCCTCATTCTGTGGCATGGCCCTGCAACGTCGCGGACAATGGCGCAAACCTCCAAAAAACTGCGCGAACGCGCGGGGCGGCAACTGAGGAACCGCATAGAAATGGAAGAAGCGGCCGGGGGCGCCACTGCGGCTCCTGGTCAGGCACAATGGCTGGCTCAGCAGCATGCATGAGCACCTGCCTGATGTAGGCGATCTTCTCGAGCGTCGCGCTGCGCCGCTCGACCTCTGTCGCTTGCTGGCCCTCGCGCGGCTCAATCTGGACCGGCGGGCCCCGGCCGACCGACAGCCAGCCCCGCGACCTGTCGAGGAACAGCTTCTGTGCGTCGCCCATCTTCGCCATGAGCAGCGACTTGATCTAGCGGCCAGCGACCTCCTGACCTCCAGCTTGATGGCCCTCGGGTTCGCCCGCGCTGGCGCGTGGACGAGCATGACCCCCACTGCGCGCCTCCACCTCGCACTGGCGCCACGCGCCGTCCACGCGGGGCACGGGCAGCGCCTTGGCCGCGCGACGAGCGACCAAGACTTCCCCGCCTGCCACGCAAATTGCAAAGTAGTGAGTGAGCACGTGCCTGGGCCCCACCTGCCGCCCGCCGTCGTCGAAACCAGCGTCCTGAAGCCAAAGTTTAATAGATGCAATGACTCTTGCTCTCGCCGCCAACTTCCACAGTATGACTGTTGATGACGGCCCCGTCGATGTCCCGCTTGTACCGGGATGAGAGCGACGGGGACCTGAGCGGCTTAGCATCATGCACCATGGCCACGACCTTCGAGAGCTTGTCAACCGTGCTCTGCAAGGCCGCCAGCTACACTGCCTGTGATACCACCTTGGCGTCCACTGCCCACACTGATCTGCAGGGTGTCAAACTTTTTCGTGCACTCTCGACGTAACTCACCGGGGCGCGGCGTACGTACTCCCAGAAGGTGTGCGTCCAACTTCTTCGGCAGCTCGTCCAGGTCCAGCTTGCACTGCTTAAAACATTTTTCGAAGTTCGCCGCGAGCCAATCGATAATGGACTCGGTCTCGTTTCCGGTCGCCTCCGAATTGGATTATGCAAAGTCCCTGGCCACCTGCTCCTTGATGCCGTTGAGCTTCTCCGTGCCGATATTGGAGCAGATAGGCCGAATGTGATCATTGGAAACATGTTCGTCGAAGTCGCAGTCGACGTCCACGAACATGGGTGTGCCACGACGCGTGGCGGGCGCAGCTGAACCACCATCAGCAGCGGTAGCAAAACTAACACGGCGCCTCCGACCATCCGTGCGAGCAGGCTTGCCACGGATGGACCCCTTGACCTTGGCATGTGCATCGGCCATCCATCAGACAAGAGAACTGGGCGGTGGGGCTAAGCGAAGGAAGCCAGATCTCCCAGTGAAGGATCGAATGGATTGCCACACTGAACAACCTTGCCCGCCCCAGACTAGCGGCATCCGTGCTCTGCCCTGGCAAACGGGCACCTCGAGTCAAAATGGCTACGGAGGTGGAGGAGGAAAAGGAGGAAGAGGAGGAGGAGGGAAGAGGAGGAGGAGGAGGAGGAGGAGGAGGACGAGCAGGAAAAGGAGGAAAAGGAGGAAGAGGAGGAGGAAAAGGAGGAGGGGGAGGAGAAGAAATGGTCCTAGGCAAGAGTGACATATGTATGGTGCGCGGCTTCAATGGGCCGGGGGTTTGGCCAGGCCAAATCGCGCAAGCCGCTGCTATCGCTTCTCATGTGGCGATCGGGGAAAGCCAATAGGCCCGCACCAAACGCCACTCAGGCGAAGAATACAAACCCCGAAACGACCACCAGTTTTCTATATCACAAATTGAGCCCCCTAAGAGAAATCACTGCTTGGGCAATCCCGCTACAGCGACCCATACTTTGACAAAGGCGACAAACATGCCAAAATCACGATCGCCCCCCCCCCCCCCCCCCCGCAACAAACGACACCGCAATAGCGGCCAACCATCATCGCAGGAAGGATCACCAACCAATTTGACAACCACTCGCGAGCACCAGTCTTGTCGCGCGCCCGGCGTGCGCGTGGGTCGGTCGAGAGGCCCAGGAGGCGCTGGAGTCAGCGAGTTGCGCACGGCAGGTGGCCGCGGAGGGGAAGGGCGGGCGGGGGGGCAAGCTCGCCCGCCTCACACCGTGGGGGCGGCCGCATATCGGAGGCTCTGACGCTGAGGTGTGTGGGCGGGGAAAAAGCAAGGGCCCGCCGGAGGTGCCGAGGCCAGGCGGGGTCTCCTCGCCCACCAGGCTCTCGGCGGGGACTTCGGACAGCTCGAGCGTCCTGGCAGCATGCACGCCCGTGTTTGTTTGCCTGCTTGAGTGTGTCAATCCTTTTCTCTCTCTCTCTCTCTCTCTCTCTCTCCCTCTCTCGTTCTCTGTATCTTTCTCTCGCTCTCTCTCTCTCTCTCTTTTTCTCTCTCCCCCTACAAATGTACACCTATTTCAAAATATGCACAATGTAATTGCTCAGCTTTCTCGGTCTCTCTTTCTCTCTCTCTCTCTCTATCGGTCTCCCTGTCCCTCTCTGTTTCTCTCTGTCTCTATGTCTAAATCTCTCTATATCTCCCCATACTGTAGACATGTACACCAGAGCCACGCGCGCTTCGCGCACGCTTAGGTTGTAGTCGAAGACCTTTGCAGCGGACGTGTCATGCAGAAAGCATGGATGGCAACACTCATAGAGGAACGCACAACAGTACATCACGAGTCCTGAAAACAATTAGGACAAGTATTACAAGGCTGTTCTCACAGAGCTGAAGGAACAATTGAAAGACTACACCCCCAAAAATGCAGTAAAACTGTTTTGGGCACGTTGATGCTGTTTTGGGCTTTCGGGGCCGCTGTGAAGGCGCAGTCAAGGCCCGCTTGATGCAACAACTCACCTGGGGTCTTGCTGGAACCGTAACGGGTACCTCTGAGGCTGTCTGTGGAGGCCTCTTGGGCCTCTTGGTGCGCTTTCGGCGCCTCTGCGAAGCCTCGGTGCCCCCCCAAGCCCGACACCAAGACGACTCCCTCGTAAGATCCTCCGGATCTACGGACAACGAGATCTCGGAGGATCATACCAGGGAAGTGCCCTCTGAGGCCATCTTGGTATCACATCGGGGGCCCTCGTGTTCTATCTCGGGCTCTGGTAATCCTCTTCGGGGCAAACAAACCTCGTGGCCGTCAACACCATCTCGTGCAGCTTGACCAATCACGCCTGGGGAGCTCCCAGGCGCCTGAGTGTGCGTTCGAATTTCGAAATATTCAAAATGCCCCCGTCATCGCGCGCTGTATACAACACTGCCGGGCGGGGGAGTGCCGTTGATCGCCCGACGGCTGGCCTGGACGCAACCGAGTCCGCTGCCTCGAGGCGCTGGTCGTAGAACGACCGCGACGACCACCCCATGATGGTCGCGTTCATGCGGTACTGGATGGACCTCGGCCCACCGCGTTCCAGTGGAGGCTGCCGGAGAGGATTGCAGCGGCGGGCCCACATGAGACACATGCGGTGAGAAATCTTGCCATGAGAGCTCCAGGGGCAGATTTGGGCGATTTCGGACACCCTGAACCCACAAACGTTTTTATCTCCTGGGGGCGCATCTTTCACTTCCGCCGCCTTCCGCCGAGCTTCCGCCAGCCTCCGCCCGCGGAGGCGGCATCGCTTTACTTCCGCCGACCTTCCGCCGCCCTTCCGCCGCCTTCCGCCTCGTTTCACTTCCGCCGGCCTTCGGTCGTCCTCCCGCCGCCTTGCGCCGAGGAAGAGATGACAACTCCTTCGATCCTCGAAGGTGAAGCCCTTTGTGGAATGCCCCATTTCTCGTCGATTGTGCCGCCCTTCCGCCGCCTCCCGCCGAGAAAAAGATGAGAACTCCTTCGGTCCTCGCAGGCAAGGCCCTTTTTGGAACGCCCCATTTTTGTCGTCGATCGTTCAGCTTCCTTCCTGCGGTTGCCCAGGGCGTCTCCGGTGGGCCATCATGGGGATGGAAATCTCAGTGGGGCTTTTTTTTGGACAGGCGCGCGCGACCGCAGGCGCCTGGGGGGGGGGGCGCCCGACTTAGTCGGGCACCTTTGGCAGCTGCGCGATGCGGGACTTGCTGGCAAGCAGCTTTCGTATTTGATGCGCCTGCTGTAGGATGCAGGCTGGCTCCAAGCAGATCGGCTCGAGACCCATTGGCTGAAGAACCCTCGCCTGAGTGGATGGCTCTGGGTCAATTGAGCCTGGGCTGGATGCGTGAGGGTCCAGATCTAGACCGGGTCGGCATAGATTTTGGTTGACCCTTCGCTATCTGGCGGCAACGCGGCAATCAACGAGACTTCGCGCTGCTGGGCTACTGGGCGGTGTGCTCCTGGGGTGCGCTACCGTTGGACCCTGGGTGGTGATGGAACTGGGCCTCGACTAGCAAGAACTCTACCTCCTCCTCCTCCTCCTCCTCCTCCTCCTCCTCCTCCTCCTCCTCTTCCTCCTCCCCCTCCTCCTACCTCCTCCTCCTCCTCCTCCTCCTCCTCCTCCTCCTCCTCCTCTTCCTCCTCCTCCTCATCTTCCTCCTCCTCCTCCTCCTCCTTCTCCTCCTCGGGCTTCTCTCAACACCTGGAAGATGCAAGCGAGATTAGTAACCTGTTATTCCCGATTTTGTCGGTCGGCGCTTTGCGATCACGTTTTCGTCCAGCGGCGGGCCCAAACCCTTGTCGCGCATTGGGGGACTTTGACGTTGCGCCAACAAAAACCATTAAGATCGAAGGAGATAGCCGCACTGGAACTAGTTCCCAACCATCCTGTGGTGTTGGGTCCTCGTTTTGAAGAGACGGCGCCCCGCGTTCCTCCTTCCTTCCCGCCCTCCTCCCCCGCCTTCCTCTTCCCCCTCCTTGCCTCTGCTCTCGGCACACCTCTCACGCGTTTCGTAGCCGCATAGGGAGCTCCACCGAAGGCCCCAGCGGGGGTGTCCACATGCGGTTCCCCCACCCAGGGCAGCGCTTCGTAGCCCCATAGGGAGCTCCACCGAAGGCCCCAGTGGGGGTGTCCACATGCGGTTCCCCCACCCAGGGCAGCGTTTCGCAGCCGCATAGGGAGCTCCACCGAAGGCCCCAGTGGGGGTGTCCACATGCGTTTCCCCCACCCAGGGCAGCGCTTCGTAGCCCCATGGGGAGCTCCACCGAAGGCCCCAGTGGGGGTGCCCACATGCGGTTCCCCCACCCAGGGCAGCGCTTCGTAGCCCCTAGGGAGCTCCACCGAAGGCCCCAGTGGGGGTGTCCACATGCGGTTCCCCCACCCAGGGCAACGTTTCGTAGCCGCATAGGGAGCTCCACCGAAGGCCAACATGCGGTTCCCATAGGGAGCTCCACCGAAGGCCCCAGTGGGGGTGTCCACATGCGGTTCCCCCACCCAGGGCATCGTTTCGTGCCCCATAGGGAGCCCGAGGCCCCAGTGGGGGTGTCCACATGCGGTTCCCCCACCCAGGGCAGCGCTTCGTAGCCCCATAGGGAGCTCCACCGAAGGCCCCAGCGGGGGTGTCCACATGCGGTTCCCCCACCCAGCGCACCGTTTCGTAGCCCCTAGGGAGCTCCACCGAAGCTCCCAGTGGGGGTGTCCACATGCGGTTCCCACACCCAGGGCAGCGTTTCGTAGACCCATAGGGAGCTCCACCGAAGGCCCCAGTGGGGGTGTCCACATGCGGTTCCCCCACCCAGGGCAGCCCTTCGTAGCCCCATAGGGAGCTCCACCGTAGGCCCCAGTGGGGGTGTCCACATGCGGTTCCCCCACCCAGGGCAGCGTTTCGCAGCCGCATAGGGAGCTCCACCGAAGGTCCCAGTGGGGGTGTCCACAATCTGTTCCCCCACCCAGGGCAGCGCTTCGTGCCCCCATAGGGAACTCCACCGTACGCCCCAGTGGGGGTGACCGCATGCGGTTCCCCCACACAGGGCAGCGCTTCGTAGCCCCATAGGGAGCTCCACCGTAGGCCCCACTAGGGGTGCCTTCATGCGGTTCCCCCACCCAGGGCAGCGCTTCGTGGCCCCATAGGGAGCTCCACCGAGGGCCCCACTGGGGGTCCCCGCATGCGGTTCCCCCACCCAGGGCAGCGCTTCGTAGCCCCATAGGGAGCTCCACCGAAGGCCCCAGTGGGGGTGTTCGCATGCGTCTCCCCTGCCCAGAGGTAGCGCGACCGAAAACGATATTCATATTTGCGGTACTCACAACTGCATATGGTTGGGTCCTTCGCCTGGCTATGTTTTTAGGAACGGACCGCAATATTCAAGAACCACCGTCGTAACGCGAATGCCGGTTGCGCTTGAAAGCCGTTTTCTTCCGCACCAAAAAAGCGGAAACGGACGCAGAAAACGACAAGGCAGAGAACGCAATGTAAGAATTGGCCGGACAACGTATCACCCCCTTGTCAGAGAGCCGGCAGCAGTGCAAAGATGATGGCAAAAACCTGCAACACCCAGGAGTCATCCGGCCACTAAAGGCAAACATCTGTTGTCTCGGCCGCGTGGCCCGCACAACTGTAAGAAGTTCCGTTAATCACCACGCAAACTGCACGCTCACGATGAAACGAACCGCCCAGTCGCAACATGAAGGCGAAGTGGCACGAGCTGGAAACAACTTGCCGCCAGCCGAGTGCCGGGAATGCTGGCGACGTGGACGAGAATGCCCAAATTCACTGCGCGAATTAGTGGGAGGGAAGGGGGAGGCAGGGAGAGGAGGCGAAGTGCTGGCCCACCCCGGAGGGCTAGCCAGACCTCCGCCTCCAAAGGGCGAGCGCGGGAGGAAAGAGAATGGAGGGGGGATTGGAATCCGTCAAGGTTGCAGCCAAACTCCGACCTCCAACACTCTCTGAATTAGCTTGCGCCTGAATTCGGAATCCCGGCCGCGCATCCCAAGCGGCAGCAGTGCGATGCGGTCTGACCCGACCGCTCGCTCCGGGAAGAGAGCCAGATTACAAGCGAATCGGCCCTGCACGGCCGCGCACTTACCAACTGGCCCGGGCACTTGCGCATAGAGCGGCGCCTCCAAAGGAGAGAGAGGAGGAGGAGGAGGAGGAGGAGGAGGAGGAGGAGGAGGAGGAGGAGGAGGAGGAGGACCGCGAGCGGGCTGTCCTGCGAACGCGGCAGACGCATACTCTTAGCTTCGCCGTCGGGTCCTCGAACGCTGGTACAAACTGCTGAGCGGTTGGCTCTTGCACGCCTCCCACAGCGCAGCAGCGAAGAAAGAACCGGCACCCGAGCTCTAAACGGCGCGGTTCCGAATTGCCACGTGCGCCTTGTATACAGCGTAAACGCAGCACGCGCGAAGCAGGTCCAGCTCCGCAATTGTGCGCGCATTATCAGCCCAATCAAAGCCTGAAGCAGTTTGGCCCAGAATATTGAGCAGACACTGGGAAGCCGCAGGGCGAGCATGAGCACATTGCTCTGCGCACCATCTGTGGTAAAAGCCGCAATGAGTGTGGTGTCTGATGCAATCGCTGCCTGAAGCGCACCCGAAGGCGCAGGGCCCCCGCTGTTGGAAGCGCCTGGCCGTGAGCCAGCCGTTGCAAGAAGTGCGCAGTGGCGCGCGCGTCGACTTCGCCAGCCTCTGGCAAATCATGGCCGGAAACGGAAGATGGTTGTTGAACGAATGCGCGGGCATATGATTATTTGACAAGGATGATGGGGCGGGGGTGAAGGGTCTGGCTGGGATGGTACGGGCTCATACCTCAAATGAACGATGGGGCAGAATCGTATTTGCAGCACCATATCCCAGGGTGGTAGGTCCTGAATGCTGTGTGGGAAAACGAGCCTACGAGGTGTAATACACCTTGCAGGACTTGAAGTTGTGTGCTCCACTGTTCGCGCACTTATCCAACCCACCCACCCACAGCTTGGTTAGCAAAAACCATTCGGCGACGTTTGCGGTGGGTGCTTGGAGCTGGCTGGCGCATCTCTGCGGCCGCGCTGCTGCGCGCATTCTCGCGCGCAAAGAGGCCAGCTACTTTGACGTAGCCCACGCAGCCGCGGTGGCGCTGACCGATGGGGGCTTCGCAGCATATCTCGCAGGCCGAGATGACGCGCGGACACGTCAGTGTGAGTCGGTGATTCAGGTTGGCGCGGTATCATGGTGATGTTGGCAAAGGCGTTATTAATTATGATGGCTTGCAAAGATGGCGATGACGACCGCAAGGCCAATGACGGAACCCATGCTGGCCACGCTGATAACGATGATGGTGTCCACGTGTCGGTGATGGAGGTTCCGAAAGAATTTCGACATGCGCGCGCGGCCGACGCGCGCGACTGGCCCGCATTGTTTTATTTGGCAACGACCCTGCCCTCAAAGCAAACACGCAATTCGAATGATGTCGACATGCGCGCGCCGGGACCCCGCCTGCTCGCTGTTGATGAACATGTGGCTCAACAAAAAAAACGACGATCCCCCTAAGAATTCGCAAGAACGCGCCCAGAATTTGTTGTACAAATCCGGTTGCAAAATTCATGCTGTTTTTTTCAGTATGTGTTCGGGAACCTCGATGTCGGAATTTGTGTGGAACCCATGGCTGTGGGGAAATTCTGGCACGCGCGCGCGACGACGCGCGCGTGTCGACTTTGTCGGCTTCTGTTGCGAAAAATGCACGGCAACGAACGATGTTTGTTAAATGACTGCGCGAGCAAAATAATATTTGACCGGGATGACTGGGGGGGGCGATACCGTGTCTTACTGGGGGTTGTACGACTTCATATATATATTTATAAAAAAAAAGAGGCGGGGACATTGTATTATGACAGGGGGTACTGGTAAAGCCGGGGCGCGGAGGGGTCGTAGATCCAAAATTGTCGTCAGTGCAGAAAACCGACGTGGTTCGCACAAACGGACTTGCCACGAAAATGCGGCGACAAGGCGGCGGCGACGGGCGGCGACGAGGTGGCGACGGGCAGCGACGAAGCGACCATTGGCGGCGACGAGGGGCGACGAGGCAGCGGCGGCGACAACAAGCCGGCCGCGGCGGCAGCCAAGCTCAGAAGCAGCGGCGACGGACGGCGGCGAAGGGCGGCGACGGCGACAGAAAGTCGGACGGCGGAAGCGAGGCCCAGTTACTGAGAAAACAAATAGGAACCCCTATATGCAAACACTGTTTGGGGAGAGGCGGAACTGACCAATGACCGTATGGGGGAGGAACAATCTGCAAAAGCAACATGCGTATGTCACGAAGCGCGTCTTGGATGACGTGATCGCGCCAAAGGTTAAAAGCCTTGGGGCCTGGAAAGGGGGAAGGAAAAAACGGCCCCTGGAAGAAACCTCCGGAATCTGGAGGTCTCCTCCTGGACCCGGTCGCTCCCTGGTGTCTCTCTCCCTGTGGCGCCCGCGGTGCGCAAACGGAATAAACGGGCGGCCTGGGGCTGGGAGGCACACCGCAGAGCAGCCCTGCGCTGCCGTGCTGGCCGCCACGGCACTGACCTTCGGAGCGCGAGCTACGAGAGGTCCTTGCTGCGGGAGATTAGGCGCATGGCAATCTAAGATTAGGTCGGGCGTGTCCCCTTACAGGCGAATCTTGGACGAAGAATTTTAACAGATCCCAGAAATATCCAACAAAGATTCAAAAATCGTTCCCAGATTATGTTTGACTATTTGTGGGCACTCCTGCTGCAGAGGGACACGCCCGACTTGAATCAAAAACCCACGCGTGGTGACTCTCTCTCGCCGACCGCGCGCGGCTGGGCAGCCGGCAGGAGCGCGGCCACGTCGTCGCCAAACTTGTCTGGCAGAGAGGGGAGGCCGCCGCGTCGCCGCATCGCCCCCGAGGGTGGGAGCGCCGCTGCGCCGCCGCCGTGCAGACAGACAGACAGACAGCCCCGCAGAAGGCACCTGCGCGGGTGCAGCGGGTTGGCGCCCGGGCGCCCGTGTTGGCCTCTCAGACTCTGGAGTGTTGGGACTCTGAGCAGCTGGGGTCAGAAAGACGAGATCGAGTGTCAGAGCCGGAGTCGGAGAGAACGCAGGGGTCGAGGAGGTAGGAGCCGGAGTCGGAGAGACGACAGTGGCAAAAACGAAGCCCCCCTGTCGTCCTCCCTGTTCTTCCCCTCCCTCCTCCCTCTCGTCCTCCCTCCTCCTTGTCCTTCCGTCCTCACTCCTCCTTTCTCCTCCCTGGAAAGTGTCCTCCTCCCTGGCGACCGTCTCTCCCTGTTCTTCCTCATCCTTATCGTCTCAACCCTGCCCTTCTCTCCTAGATCCTCCCTTCTCCTTCCTCTCGCGTCTTTCTCCGACGTCCTCCGCCGTCCCCCCTTATCCCTGAAGGCCGGCATTGCCCTTATATTCGAGGTGACCATCGGGCCCTGAATGGACAGGAGTCGGGAGTGTAACACGAGCGCCTCGTTCGCGACATCCCGACACTCTGGCCGCAACCAAGCGAGTGCAACCATCCCTGGCGGCTATTTGGGTGTTATCGCCAGCGCCTCTTTCGAGCTATCCTCAAACTTTGCCCTGAAAGCCGAGGAGCCCACGTCACCAAGCAGGCAAACCGCTTGTGATGGGCCTGTTTTCCACCACCACCACCACCACCATAAGTTGGAGGGGGAAGGAGGTGGAGGACGAGGAGGAGGAGGACGACAGGGCGGAAGAGGAGGAGAAGGAGGAGGAGGAGAAGGAGGAGGAGGAGGGGAAGGGGGATGAGGAGGAGGCGGACCCCCCTGTGACTAATGGTGGTGGTTGTGGACAACAGGCCCATCAGCTTGAGACATCCCCAAACTCTGGCCGCGAACGAGCCGCCAAATGGCTCCCCCTTGAGGCACTGCAGCCAGCGCCCCGCTCTGGAAATCCACACGGTCTGCCCTGAAAGCAAGCGAGTCTCGGCCACCGGGCACGCACGCCCCTCGAAGCATCCATTTCAGTATGGGCCCCATCGGGGTGCTGAAGCCGGGCTCCTGGCCCGAGGCATCCCTGCAATCCGGGCCGACTGTACTGGGCGCGAGGGAATCGGAACCGCCACGCAGGCAGGTCGCGGGAGCAATCCCTACAGTCGAGCCCCCTCTGGGGTGCGGAGGCCGACAAATCCCACGAGGAAGCCCTGCGGCCCGCTCTGACAGCAGACGTGCCTGCACACCGAAACAGGCAAACCGCCCGATGGACGCCCCACGAGCTCGGCACGACAGGGCCCCTGGGAAACACCCTGGCGGCTCCCCCTCTTGGGACTGCCGAAGCTCTTGCCATCGCTCGGGCGTCCATTCCCCGTGCACTGCTCGGTCTCGTGCGTGGACTGGTTTCGCAGGATGCTCCAGGTTGCTCCTCGATGGTCCTAGCCGAAAATGTACGCACGTCCGGGCGACGCCAAGCACCAGCTGCTTGAGACGTCCTCCCAACCAGTTCTGAAAGTAGGCGGGCCTGGGCACTGCATAGAAAGCAATCTACTCGAGGTACCCCCCCCCACTATCTGGGTGCGACTGGGCCTACTGGCCTCCCTGTTTGGGATTGCTGAAGCCAGGTGCCTCCCCCGAAACATCCTACAAACTGCTCTGAAAGCAGACGTGTCTGGGCACCGAACATCCTCACAATCTTCGCGGGTAGCAGACGAGCAGACGGCCTGAGACATCCTCACAATCATCGCGCGGACGGGCCCGTGCAAGCACCCTGGCGGCTCCTCCTTGGAAGTGCTGAAACCAGCGCCTGGACGCCTCGCCTGAGACATCCCCATGACCTGCTCTGACAACGGACGGACGGGTCCGCACACCGAGACGGGCAAAACGCCTCAAACATCCCCACAATCTGGTCGCGAACGGGCCCGTGCAAACCCACTGGCGGATTTCCTCTTGGGAGTACTGAGACCACCGCCTCCCCTGAGACATTATCCTCGCACTCTGCGGGAACGAGCGTGATCGATTCTGGATATGAGTGGGTTCTAGTATGAGCGCGAGTAGGTCAGAGTGTGAGTGAGTGTGGGTACACGTGGGTCTGAGTCTGAGTGAGTCTGAGCGTGGGTAAGTACGAGTGTGAGTGAGTCTGAGCGTGAGTACGTCAGAGTGTATGTCTGACCATGGATGGGTCTGAATACGAGTGGGTCCGAGTGCGCGCTGGCCTGAGTGTGAGTGAGTCTGGGTGCGAGTAGGTATCATGAGCGTGAGCGTCTCTGACTTGAGTGAGTCTGAATGCGGATAAACACGAGTATGAACTGAACGGGGTGTCGGATGAAGATGCGAAGAGAAAGGCGCGCGCGTGCGTGTGTATGCGTGCGTGCGTGCGTGTGTGTGCGTGCGTGCGTGCGTGTCTATGTGCATGTGTGAGGGGGTCGGCGGCGCCCAAGTAATATCCATAGCCCCATATTAAGAGATGGGGGATCGCATGCGCCGCATGCACCAAGCTCAATCTCCAATCACCTACACCAAATGACAGGCACCACTACACATCGCCACTAGCCGACACTGAACCATACGTGTGCAACTGGCACCAAGAGCATAACTGAACCTCGTACCCGTAACATTACTAAGACAATACGCTAGGACCATACCCTGAACCAAGGTCAGCCTACCACCACAATGCATTTATCGACCTAGCACGAGCAACCAACGAACACACATACACACATGTAACATGACATCGTGCACGCATACCAGAAACCATGAAACGTACACACATATCGCTTACCACAACGTATGCAATACATGAGCATGCGCACGACGCAAGCCTGGATACCATTCAAAAGGACCAGCATCAACTGATCATTCAATCCATCACACCCTGAAACAGAAAATAATGGTCAACGCACGTGCTATGCAAACCAAGTATAACGTACAACGTACAGGCTCGAGTACAGCGCGTGATGGCGTGTACACTGGGCGACACTGAAAGGCAACTGCGTTTCATGTTAGGTCTGTGATCCTTTCAAGTCGGTCGGTCCCCCCAATTGTTCACACTCGTGTTTCTGTAAACTTGGGGCCATGTTCTACAACCCCTTCTGTCACGTCAGCCCCTGCTGACATTCACTCAAGCACAACGATGGCAAGACCAGCCCTGCAAGTGACGGAAAGGAGATGTGGGGATCAGGGGAGAGGAGGGAGAACGACGGATGAGCATCAGGAACAGGAACAAGAGCATCCGCACGGGAATGAGGAAAGCCTGACACATCAAGACTTCGCCGCCAGGGCTCGTGAGAGGAGAAGAGTCGGAATAGCAGCGCAAGGAGCAGCGAGAGGACGGTAGCTCGTCAGAAATTTACTGCTTGAGACCGATGTGTGACTCTCGTCCTCCTCCTCCTCCTCCTTCTCCTCCTCCTCCTCCTCCGTGTTTCATGTTTTGGATCCTGCTCCTCATCTAGGCTCCGTCTTGTTCTCGTCACACTCTGTCCCCATCTTCCTGGCATGCCCTCTTTGGGCTGTTTTCATTCTTTGGGCCCCTCCTCCTGCCTGATCCTCTTGCCTTGCCCGTCGTCCGTCTCCTCCTCCTCCTCCTCCTCCTCCTCCTCCTCCTCCTCCTCCTCCTCCTTCTGCTCCTCCTCCTGCTCCCCATCACGCGCCCTCCTGCTCCTGCTCCTCCCCCTGCTGAAGGCGGGAGGGAAGGGATGACATGTGTGCGTTGCAGAATGTGTGCTTCGCGCGTCGCCGCGGCGGCCCTGCGACACGGCCTCTGCCCTGCAAGCTGACATAGCGTGTCGCTGTGCTTCGTGGGGCGGGAGGCTGGGAAGAGCTCGGGACGTCGATGTTGTACGAGGAGGAGGAAGAGGAGGAGGAGGAGGAGGAGGAGGAGGAGGAGGAGGAGGAGGAGGAGGAGGAGGAGGAGGAGGTGGTGGAAGCGGAGGAGGAAAGAGAAAGGGGCTGGGACCTGCTCAGCGTGCCGAGGCAGGGCGTCAGGCCGGCCAGAGCCGGCGGCGCGACACGCTCTGCAGACGCTCCTGACCGTGGTCCCTCTCCAAGGCTGGACCTACATGTTGTGTCTCGTTTTGGTATCGTGTTGTTGTTCAGTTTGCTCTACCTGTTGTCCTGTACCTCCCTCCCAAAGCGAAACACAAAACACAGCCGAAGTCCAGCAAAGCAGTGTTTAGGTCCAGCCCTGCTCCCCACCGTTCCCTGGCAAAAATCGTGCATGAGACGTGCGGAAGCCAAGCGAGGCTCGTATGTGCAAGACGCTTGGGCGTCCGGCCTGGCAACGGCTTCGGCTGCGAGGGGCCACCGCGGGCAGCGGACGGGAAGAGGAGGCTTGGATTTGATGGCATCGTTGATAACAATCCGCATCCTTTTTGTATATATATATATATATATATGTATATGTGTATATATATATATATATATATACATATTCCTCTTCGAATATTCTCATAGTGGAAAGCTCCGGGTGACCCCCCCTTGCCCCCCTGGATAAATTCGGCCCTGGGCGCTACTTTGGATGTTCGGTTCCGGGAGCCCCCTCAGGCCATCCCAAGCCGCCAAAACGGGGCCAGTATCGCTTCACGGACGGTCCCGCGGAGCACCGACGCGGCCCAAGACCTCTCCGGAATGCCCATGTTGGTCTCAGGACGGCCCGCAAGGCCTCCAAGACGCCTGACGAGAGCCCGAAGATGGCCCCCAAATGGGCCCCAGACGCCAAGATGCATTGATTTTCCTGAGGTGTTCGATCGATTTAGTGTTCTCGTTTTGTCCAGCTTCCGACCGCGCAAGACGGCCCAAGACGGCCCAAGACGGCCGGAGGCCGCGGCGGGCGGCGGCGCGGCGGGCGGGGGTGGCGCCCCCGCCAGCAGCTGCGGCGCCGGCGGCGCGCGACGCGGCGGGCGGGGCAAACCCCGCGGGCGCCGGACGGCGGCCGCGTCGCGCACCGTGACGCGCCGGAGGGCGCCGCCAGGCCCGACCAGCTCGCGGACGCGATTGTTCGCGGCGTGGGTGACCGCCCCGAGGACCGCGCACTCGCGCGCCACGAGTTTCTCGGCGACACCACAAAGCCCCGAAGCCGGGCCGCACGGCGGCGGACAGCCAGCTGCAGCTTCGGCAACTATGTCCGCCAAGCGGTTGGCCCTCCAATCCACTGCTGTGACCGCGTGGCCGTCCGACCTCAGTGCCGCGCCGATCACGGTCAGGGCGCCATGCGCCGGCATCCAGGTAAGCCTGCCGGTCGTGACCAGAGTCGAGATGTCGCCGTCGACAAGCGTGGCCACGCGCGACCAGATCTGAACGAGCATCCGCGTTCGCTTGGTGGCCTGTGCTGACCTTGCCTCCGCAGTCGCGATGAGCGCCCTGCAATCGGTGCCAATGACAGGCGGAGTGAGCGTGATGGACAGCACAAGCATGACAGTCCAGAGCTCTGCAGCCGCGGCTGTGCGAATCCAGGGCGGAGGCACGGCGGAGCCGTATGCCACGAGGTCCCCAGCCTCTGACACGACGACAAAAGCGCATCCTGCACGCCGGAACTCCCGCAGAAGGCCAAACTTCATGGACCCGTCCGTGTACCAGCACAGATCGGTGCGAGTCGCGTCTGGCGGGTCCGTGAACCAGCGAACGGCCACCTCCTCTTGCAAGAAGCCCGCGGGTCCAGAGCAGCGCGAGGCGGGCGTCCGACATCCCCGAGAGTAGGCGCCCACAAACCGCCGGCGGCTCTGGCCACCCGTCCGGGGGCAACGAGGCCACGCAAACGCGGCGATGCAAGAGGGTGCCGGCCGTAACCCCGCAGAGTTGGCAGGCCTTGTCCGTGACTCCAGCGCCCCGCAGCTTGGCCAGGCGCACCTGCGGCCATTGCCCCCCTGTGGCGGCGGACAGGAGCTGGGAGCGACAAGGCGCGGACCACTGCGGCACCGCGCTGCCTGGGCGCCCGCGCCCCTTGACCAGGGCAGCGAGGGGGCGGCCCACGAGGACAGTGACCGCGCCGGCGCCCTGGTCCAGAGGCATGTCAGGATCGCCACTGACGAGGGCAGAGAGCGTCGACACCACCCGCCGCGTGCGCCAACGGCCAACCGATCTCTGCACCGCGGCCGCCACCATTGCGGGGGACATGGAGAGGAAGCCGACGGGCTCGCCGAGGTCGTTTGCAAAACGTCTCGGCGCGGGGCACGTCCATCCCAGGCGCCAGGCGGTGGCGATGACGCCCGCCACAGGGCCAGCGACGGCGGACCACAGCGAACGGCTGGTCGCCAGAAGGTTCGTCAAGCGATCCCGGGCCTGCATGAAGACGGCGTCAAGCTCCTCCGCGGGTGCCCAAGCCTGCCAATAGGCCATGCCCCAATGGCGCCATGGGGTGGCGTGCGCAGCGTGGGCGGGATCCAAACATGCCCCCCCGGCATCCAGCTCCGCGAAGCTCACGTCGACATTCCAGCTGGCACCTGGCGGCAGCACCGCCCTGAGCGCAGCGGCCCGGACGCTATGCAGGTGCGTGTTGGAGGCGCCGACGATATCCACTCCGTACAACATGCTAAGGCTACCCATCGCCTTCACGACCAGAGCAGTTAACGTCGACACGCTGGCGCCGGAGAGCATGCATCCTCGGGATGCGAGTTCTGAATTCCTTCAGGCGGCACCGCAAGACGCCCGCTTCCCGCGCGCGGCCGCCAGCATATGGCGCCCCCAGCAGCTTCACGCTGCGCTTCGGTATCAACAGCCGCCGTTTGGATATGAGGGACAACTGGGCCGCCAGACGAGGCCTCGACGCGACAGCGAAGGACTTCGTCGGCGAGACCGTCAGCCGGAGGCAACTCTCGAACGCGTCGACGAAAAACTCCGCGCCGCGAGACACCGCTGCGAGGGCTTCCTCGGAGAAGCCGGAGGCGGTGATGGTTAAGTCGTCCACGTACAGGAACAACTGCAGCAAAGGCCAACGGAACGTCGCAATGAACATCGTCTCGTGCAGCAGCATCTGGAGCTCGACCGCGGCAAACCCCGAGCCGGCCGTGATGCCGCGAGCGGCGACGAGCAGGCAAGAGAAAGTGCCCTCAACGCCGATGGCCCGCGCCAGCCGGTAGGCCGCCGGGGACAGCCGCAGCACCGCCAAGTCAAAGTCCAACCGCGCGGCGGCTGCAGCCACGAGGTCGCGCGGGACCCGCTCGAAGGCCGTGGCGAGGTCGAGCAGGGAGGCGACGCGGTGGCGCGCCGAGGCCGCCGAAGCCTCGGCAGCGAAGGCCGCCACCCATGCCGCGCGCTGTGCGCCGCGCCCAGCGCAGCCGAACACGGACGGGGGCGCGCGCGCCGCCTCCCAGGCGCGGGCCGCGGTGGCTCTCGCGCGCATCCAAATGCGGATGAGCGTCGGAAAAAGGCCAATGGGCCTCAGGCCGCCGTCTGGTTTGGGCAGCAGCACGATCAGCACCAGGTTGCACGCGGCCGTCCAGCAGCCGAGGCGCTCCGCTGCGAGTAAGATGCCGCTCAGCCGGAGGCGTGCTGCGCTGGGGAGGCGCAGGATCGCCCGCGGAGCCACGTGATCGGCCCCGAGGCCCGTCCCGATGGGGAAGGACGCGATGGCCTGGTCCAGGCTCCACGCTGTGAGCGGCTGCGGCTCCGTGAGCAGGTGGGCGGGGAAGCGCGGCTCGAGGTACTCCTCCCCGACGGCCCACTGGTCAGCCCAGCCACGAGCTTCGCGGTCGAGGGCCGCCTGCTCAGACAGCGGCGCCGCGGCGGCCAGGGCGTGGCCGTCCTCCGGCGAGACCTCGACGCGGCCGGCATCAAAGTCGTCGTACTCCAGGGGGTCTGCATCGGGGACGTCCTCCTCGCATCGGGGGTCGCCAGCTGGCGAGCGGGCCCAGCCGCCAATGCCCCGGACATGCCAGAAGGCCAGGCGCCCTGGAGAAGACGCCGAGGTGCGCGCCGAGCGAGCCCCGCCAGGCGACGCCCAAGCGCTTTGGTACGCGGCCAGGCGCGCAGCCGCCACGGCAGCCTCGATCCGCTGAGCGTGCCGCGCCTCCCTGGCAGCCAGTGACCGCGCGGCGGAGACCCCGCGGGTGATCCGCGCGTGGCCGAAGGCGGCCGCCCAGGCGTGGAAGTCATCAGGGGAATCGCCAGGAGCTCGAGCAGCCCGTTGCGCTGCAGCCCGCACCCGGGACCAGTGGCGAGCGAGGACGAACTCGTCGTGGGCAGCGGGCTGCGGCCGCCCGAGGATGGCAGCGGTCTCGTGGGCCCGAGCCGAGCAATCTCGCCATGCCACGGCGATGGAGGATGCGCCAGCGTGCCGTGAGGCGGGGCGTCCAGCAGCTGGTTCCCACCGGAAGTATGGCCGAAACCACGGCGCCGGCACCCCGGTCAAGAGGGTGAACGTGCCGCGAGCCGCGCGGTACCAGTTGTCGATGGCTGCCTCCAGCTGCGACGCGTCCACGATGGGGCTGGAATCCCAGTCGCCGGGGGCAGGTGGCAGCAGCGGCCCCTGAGGTATACTCCCCATCGACGCGCCGTGGGCGAACCAACCGGCGGACTGCCTTGCGGCGCGCATCGCCAGCCAAATACACTCTGATAGGGAAGCGTGGGGATGACCAGGGAGACGATTCGGCCCCGCACGACGTCGAGCCATCCAGTGTCGGTGAGCATCTGCGGCGCGACGTTCCAGTCGCCTGCGATCACCCATGGGCCAGACAGCGTGCCCAACAGCGCGGCCGCCTCGGCAAGGACGTGCAGGTTGGACTCCGAGATGCCCTGGCTGTGGAACAACCAGATGCTGCACAAGTGGATGCCGCCTTTCAGGACCGCGCCCAGATGGGCCGCCTGCAAGCGATGGTGCATGCCATCTGAAACCAAATCAGCGTGCGGATGCATGCCGAAGCGGCGTCGACAGAGCACGCCCACTCCACCAGAAGCTCGATCGCAGGCAGTGGAGTGCGCAACGCCGAGATGCGATCTCCACCCGGCCTGTTTGGCCGCCCGTGCAGCTGCGGCGAGCCTGAGCTCGGAGTGGATCTTGTGCTCCTGAATCAAGAGCGCGTCGGCGGAGGTTCTCGGGATGACCTGGGCCAGGCACGTGTCCCAGCAGTTGGCATTGGCCGTGTCGATGGTCCACACGCCGGAGGCCCACAAGTGCACGCTCCCGATAGCCACCTGGGCAGCGGGTTGCGGCCAGTCATCGCCAAGAGCAGCGTTACGACGTGCAGGGCGAATGCGACGACCATCAGGAGCACGACGCCGCCGCGCCCGGCGGTGGGGGGCAGCGGCAGCTGGCGGCTGCCAGTCAAGAAGCGCAACAGGCGAGATCGCGCGCACCTCGGCGGCGGGCGGCGCCCGGGCATCAGCAGCAACAGGCGCCGGCGGAACAGCGCCGCCATGGTCACGATGATAGCCCAGCGCACCATGCGCGAGCCCGAAGTAGAACCCTGGGTGGCTGCCGGCAAAGGCATGGGCACGGACAGTCACGGCCTCAGGGGAGAATGCGGCGTCGTCGAGGGCAGCAGCAGGCGGGGGCCCCCGACGAGACGCTGGGGTCGGCGGCCCGAGGCCAGTCACGTGCTCAGCTTGGCGCCAAAGGGACAGCTGGCTGGCCGTGACGGGCGCGTCGCAGACGGGCACGGGGTCGCCCTCCGGGCCTGCGGCGCGGCCCCCCGCCGGCAGCCCGGGGACCATGCGCGGGGGTCGCCGCGGGGACAGAGGCAGCCTCCGCGACGGCCGCCTCGAAATCCCACTCAGCATCCAAAGCCGCGCCAGGGGTGGGAAGACGGTCTGGGGCTCCATCTCTCCCCAGGGGCTGCCGCCGTCCGGCGCCGCATCGGCGGCGTGATCGGAGCCCAAAGGCGCTGGGAACGGGCCCGCGACGTCCCCATGGGTGGACTGCTCCACGACGGCTGCGTCGAAGTCCCACTCCTCGCCGTAGGTGTCGAGGAGGGCGGGGCCGGGATGGCTGGCCTCGCCGATCCGGCAGCAGGCAATGAGGAACAGCAGCGCGACGACCAGCCGGGCTGGGCTGTGCAGGCGGCGCCGAGACCTGGCGCTGCATGGCGGCGAGCTCGGCGGCGGCCGGTCCGGCGGCGCCGGCGCCCGCGCCGGCGGCCCAAGGAACAGGCCAGCAGGGAGGCATTTACGTAAAAATGAATACCTCAAGCCTCGGGCCGCGCCGGCGGCCCCCGGGCCTGCGTCCGCGGCCGCGGCCCTGGCAGCGGCGGCAGCGCTGGCGGCCCGCAGCGCGCCCGCAGGCCACCCCAGCGCCGGCGCCGGCGAGCAGCGAGGGCCACCGCGGGGGCAGGCGGCCCCTGGCCGCGAGCGCCCGCGGCGACAGCAGCAGCAGCGCCGGCGGCGGCCCTGGGGGCGCGGGCGGCGGCCCCGGCGGCAGCCACGCCCGCCAGGCAGAAGCGCGTCAAGCCACCTGGGCCCGGCGCTTCTTGTGGCTCGCTGTGATCATGGCGTAGCTGGTGGCCGCGGCAGCGCGGCTTTCCTCCAGCTTCTCGCAATTGCACTTGAGCCTGTCCAGGGCCTGGTGGAGGAAGCACACCAGCTGCCGAGGAAGCACGGTGGTCGGGCTGACCTGGGCGTCCCCTGGGAACCAGAGCGGCCACTGCGAGCCCAGGAGGAGCTGGGCCGTGATGAGTACCTCCGCTGGTGGGCATTGGGCCGAGGTGATGTCCGCGAATGTGAAGGGCACGCAGGCGCCAGCTTGGTACCACTGGTTGATGAGCTGGTACCACCGGCCGCACTCCTCCAGCTGGGGGCCTGCTGGGACCTGGATGTTCGGCAACGCGTCGAGGGAGGCCGCCTCCACGATGCGGGCGAAGTCGGCGTCGCTGGCGTCCGCGGCCTGAACTGCAGCGAGCCTGTCCCGCGCGGCCTGCAGCTGCTGGTCGAGGAGTGCCTTCTGGCTCTCGAGCTCGGCAAGCTCGGGAGACGAAGGTGCAGGGGCAGGGGCGGCGCCGCGCGGCACGGCCGCGTCGCCGGCACCAGGAGCTGCGACCCCCATCGGCGCCGAGGGCCGAGCAGCAGCCGAGGCGCCAGCCGCCGACCGTGCCGCCGCAATCCTGGAATCCAAGAGCGCCACGACCTCCGACTCGGCAGCGCGGCGCTGCTGCGCAAAATCGGCGTGTGCAGCAGCATGGATCGCCTCCAGCTTGTCCAGCTCCCCGCCGAGCTTCTGAAGCTGAGTGCGCAGGGAGTCGAGAAAGGTCCAGCGTTCGGCGCGCCGGGCGGCAGCCTTGGCCGCTCCAGCATCGATCGGCGCGGTCGCGCAGGGACTGCACCTGCTGCAGATAGGCCGCCTTGGCTCCCTCCAGGGCCGCACATTCGAGCTCCGGCGAGGGGGCCTTCTTGCGGAGGCGATCGAGAGCGGCCTGCTCGGCAAGAAGGCGCGCCTGCAAGGCCTTGGCAGCATCGGACTCGTCGGCGTCCCCCAGGACGGTGAGCGCTGAGCGGGCCTTCCCAATGCTCTCCTCGAGCCGCGCGCGCTCGGCAACCGACGCGCAGGGCTGAGAGTCGGCCAGGCAGCGCTGGATGACACTCTCGGCGACTGGAGGGGCAGCGCCGTCCGCAGCCAGGGTGTCCAAGCCCAGCGACTGCGCAAGCGGTGCAAGGGCAGGGCGAAGGTCCTGCAGCTCCTCGAGCAGCTCGGCCGGCAGAGTGGGGATCCTGGCGCCGCGCGCCACGGCGGCCGGCGCGGCTGCCTGCGGCGTGGGTGAAGCGCCGCCCACGGCCACATGAGCCTGGGCAGGGGAGCCCAGGCCTGGGCCCGCGGCCCCATCCGCAGCGGCCTGCTGCGCAACGGCGGCTGCGCGGTGAGCTGCACGGCGAGACGTAACTACGCTTCGACGGAGGAGAACCGGGAACTGGCCGGACAGCCAACCGCGACCCCCCAGCAGGCGCGCTGGCCACGCGCCCCGCCGCGGGCCCTGGAAGCCGCTGCGCAGCTGGTGGGCTCTTGGCGGAAGCCTTGCAACGTCCGCATCCGAAGCAATGCGAGAGCGAGGCGAAGTTCTCCCGGCCTTTCTGTGCCCCATGGGCAGTCCGCCCATGCACAGAGCCACCGGGGAGGGCGGTTCGCAGCCGCGGCCCCAGCAGCCCCGCCTGAAGCCTGCGTCCGCAATGGCCCGGAGCCGCTGCCGCCGAGGGCGGAGGCGACCTGGGCCAGCTGCCGGAGCTGCTCCGCAAGCCCGCCACCGCCAGCGCCGCTGCGAGCCCATTTCGATCCCGCAGGAGGTGTTGCCGTGCAGCGCCTGCGCCCCCGCAGCTGCCGCCGTACCCCCGGCGCCAGCAGCCCCACGATCGAAGTAGGTGATGTAAGAGGAAGTCCGCCTGCGCACGACACGCATGAAAGCTCACAGAGGAGAGCTGCCCGCTCAGATGGGACCTGTTCCCACTTGAGCCAAAATGGCTACGGAGGGGTCTCAAGAGGGCCCCAAGACGGCCCAAGAGACCCCTAAAATGGCCGAAGAGGGCCCCAAGAAGGACAACCCGAACTGACATGTCGAGTTTTTCTCCCCAAGATGGCCCCGCCAAGGGCCCCCCAAGACGCCCCCGGAGGCCTACACGAGGCCACCAAGAGGGCCTCAAAGCCCCCACGGCATCTTCAAAAGACGCCCCGGGGAAGCCCCAGAAATGCTTCAATGATCTGATCTCGGGGGACCCCGAGAGACCCCAAGAAGCCTCCCATTGAGGCGTGTGCAAGTCCCTCATTCCACAGGTTCCAAAGGTCTCCAGGTTTCAGAGGCCCCACAGGTCCCGCACGTCTCACATGTACAACACGTCCCACAGATCTCGCAGGCACCTCAGGCCCCGCAGGTCCAACGTGTCCCACAGGTCCAGCAGGTCCAACAGGTCCCAGAGGTTCCAGAGGTCCCACAAGTCCGACGGGTGTCTAAGGTCTCGCAGGTCCCGTAAGTCCGACAGGTCCAGCAGGTCCCACAGGTCCCGCAGGTCCCACTGGTCTCACAGGTCTCGCAGATCTCGCAGGTCCTACAGGCCCCACTGGTCCCACAGGCCCCATGAGTCTAATAGTTTTGCAGGTCTTGCATGACCCACAAATGCCACAGGTCTCGCATGTCCCACAAGTCGCACAGGTCCCACAAGTCCCACTAGATCGCACGTCTCGCGGGCTCCACAGGCACAACAGGTCCCACGGGTCCCACAGGCCCCGCACGTTCCACAGGTCCCAAAGGTATCGCAGGTATCGCAAGTACCACAAGTATCGCAAGTCCCACAGATCCCACATGCCCTACTACAGGCGTCAAAGGTTCCGCAATTCCCATAGGTGTGGCACGTCCCATGGGTCCCACAGGTGCCGCAGGTCCGGTAAACCCGCAGAACCCACATTTACACGAGGTCCCATGGGTCACCTTTGCTGGTACACCAGGTTCCACAGGTACACCAGGTCCCACAAGTACACCAGCTCCAGCCCAAGCCTCATGAAACATGAACCCCAGGGTGCTCTTCGTTCCTGTTGATGCCGATGAGCCCCGTATGCCGTTCAAACTCCATGAGACTTGTGACCATGTAACCCTCATGAGCAATACAAGCTTCGTGCGCCCAAGAGCCTCCGGGAGACCTTCCAGACCCGTGGCGGCCGCCACTTCAAAAGCTCTGGGACCAAGCCGCCCCACTCCCTCATTCCCAATTGACGGCGATGGCGGTCGCAACGCACCGCACCTCGCTGATGCCATGCGACCAAGATTGTCACGGCGAAGCGTAGCGAACCGGTGACATCTTGTGTGTATATATATATATATATATATATATCAGAGTGAGGGGGCCGAACCGAACGGTCATTCACTGTCCCTGGGTGCGTGGCTGAAGTGGAATTCCGCGAGGCGGATTCTCGTTGTTGTTGTTGCTGCTGTGTTGTTGTTGTTGTTGTTGCTATTGTTGTTGTTGTTGCTGTTGTTGTTGTTGCTGCTGTTGTTGTTGTTGTTGCTGTTTGAAGTGTGTTGCTTGTTGCTTGCTGTTTGTTGTTTGTTGTTGTCGTCGTCCCACCCGGCGACCCGCCCCGCGACCCACCCGCGACCCACCCCGCGACCCACCCGCGACCCACCCGCGACCCACCCCGCGCCCACCCCGCGACCCACCCGCGACCCACCCCGCGACCCACCCGCGACCCACCCACGACCCCCCCCGCGACCCACCCCGCGACCCGCCCGCGACCCACCCCGACACCCCCCCCGGCGACCCGCCCGCGACCCACAAGCGACCCACCCGCGCGCGACCCACCCGCGACCCACCCCGCGACCCACCCGCGACCCGCCCCGCGACCCACCCGCGACCCACCGCGACCACCGCGACCCACCCGCGACTCACCGCGACCCACCCCCCGCGACCCACCCGCAACCCACCCGCGACCCACCCCGCGACCACCCACATTTTTCCGGCGCCTGCGGCGGGCTCCTTTTGCACTCAGTCCAGGTGGAGAACCTGCGACCCACCCGCGACCCAAACCGCGTTCAGTGTACAAATCAAAATGTTCGTCGCCTGCGGCGGGCTGTTTTTCAATTCCTTCCAGGTGGAGGTGGAGAGCCCGCGACCCACGACCCAAACTACGTTCACTGAACAAGCCAAAACTTCGGCGCCTGCGGCGGGCTTTGCACTCAGTCCAGGTGGAGAACCTGCGACCAAAACCGCGTTCAGTGTACAAATCAAAATTTTCGGCGCCTGCGGCGGCCTGTTTTTCAATTCCTTCCAGGTGGAGGTGAAGAGCCCGCGACCCACCCGCGACCCAAACTACGTTCACTGAACAAGCCAAGAACGGAGGAGGCGGACGGCGACGACGACGATGACGACGACGACGATAAGGACAAGGACGCGGACGAGGAAGAGGAGGAGGAGCAGGAGGAGGAGGAGGAGGAGGAGGAGGAAGGCGCCATCGACAGGGAAGGTGAGGGCCACGAGGTCCGCCGGCTCGACGCCCGCGTCGCCCGCGCCCGCCCCCTCACTCTCATCCGCAACTGCGGTTTGCTGCGTATATATATATATATATATATGTATGTGTGTGCGTGTGTGTGTGTCCCTTGTCTGCCGGCTCCTCCCTTCTACGAACAGCACTAATTGCCAGTATAGGTGGCGTCGGGTAAAATGAGGAATGTCCAAATTCACTCGACGCCTCAGAATCGACCCTAAACCTCTCCTGGATACCGCGTTCTGATGACGATATCGGGGCGAGTCCCGCCGCGGGCGATGAGGGTCTCCGAACAGGAACTCAAGACGGCTGACAACATCAGCATCGCCCACCTCACACGCAACCCTGAAGACATCTGAATTCAACGGGCGCTGCCTAGCGGAAGCGGAGGAAAAACTAGGGAAGACGGAGGGAGAGAAACAGAGAGCAGTGACAGTGACGATGGCGCGATGGGCACTATCCACGATGCGAGTGATCCCCGATCGCCCACCTCATCGTCATCCTCCCCTTCGCCCCACTCGGCTGCACGCAAGAGTGACCCTGGGTAAGAGTGACCTTTGGTGCGCGGCTTTTCGGGGTCCGCGGGGGGGCCAAACACAAGCGCACAAGCCGATGCTGTCGCATCGCGCTCGGTGGTCGGGGGACCCCAGTGGGCCCGCACCAAAGATCACTCCGGCGAAGGGTCACTCTTACGTCTAGTCGACATTCGCCCCACGCTGGAGGCACGCCGCAAGGGGCGGCGGCCGCAACGCCGCGCGGCCTATCATGCGGGCGAACAGGGTCCGGTCCAGGCCGCGCCTTTGCGCCTGGCCCCATCGCGCGCCCCCTCGCTGCCCTCGTCGTCATCGCCGCCGTGCTCACCGTGCTCCAAGAGTCCTCCCCCTGGTCCTCCTCCTCGCCGGGTGCTTCTCCCCCTCCTCCTCCTCCTCCTCCTCCTCCTCCTCCTCCTCCTCCTTCTGCTCCTCCTCGACGTGCTGCTACTCCTCGCCGTCCTCCGCCTCTCTCTCTCTCTCGTCCCTCCTCACCCTTCCCACCTCTTGTGGGGAACGTGCAGGGGAGATCTGGCTCCAACAAAGGAGTGATCATGATGCTGCTGCTGCTGATGATGATGATGATGATGAAGATGAAGATGAAGATGAAGATGAAGATGAAGATGAAGATGATGATGATGATGATGATGATGATGATGATGATGATGATGATGATGATGATGATGATGATGATGATGATGATGATGATACTGGTGGTGATGATGATGATGCTGATGCTGATGCTGATGATGATGATGATGATGATGATGATGATCCCGCTCTCCCAAGGAGGGTCGCCGCCGAATCGCAGTCGCCCACCGCACGAACTACATTACCTCGGGGTGCCTCGGCCAGGCGATTGCGAACGGTCACGGAGAGGGCGAGGCGGGCCGAGCTCGGCCTAGGCTCCACCTTTTGAGGGGTGGAGCCCTCTCTTCAGTCTCTTCAGACACTCCTTGACTCGATCCGAGGGGGGGGTGGCCGAGGCACGGCTCGACGAGGCCCTTCGCTCGCGTGGACGACGTGTGAGCCCCGCACCTCGAACAACAGCCCCCCCCCCCACTCCCCGCACTGTACAACGCATGCGAAAGGTCGAAACGCAGATGCCACCCGGGGGGCAACTCTTCCCAGAGCCTGACCGCCGAACTAGGTTGCCCCACTGGAGGTGCCATGCTACTGCTGCTGCCGCCGCCCTCTGGGGCCTGCTGCTGCTGCACAAGCTGATGATGCTGATGACGCTGATGATGCTGATGATGATGATACTGATGGTGATGGTGATGATGATGATGATGATGATGATGATGATGATGAGGGTGATGGTAATGCTGATCACGATAATGATGATGCTGATTATGAAGATGATGATGATGCTGATGATGATGCTGACTATGATGATCATTCAGTTCATGATGATGAGGATGACGACGGTGATGATGCTGATGATGGTGATGCTGCTGATGAAGATGATGATAATGATGATCATCATGCTGATGCTGATGCTGATGACGATGCGGATGGAGATGCTGATGCTGGTGATGAAGATGATGACGATATTAATGATCATTCTAATGAGAATGCTAAAAATGATGATGATGATGATGATGATGATGATGATGATGATGATGATGTGATGATGATGTGATGATGATGATGATGATGATGATGATGATGGTGGTGGTGGTGGTGGTGATAAGGATGATGATGATGATGATGATGATGATGATGATGATGATGATGATGGTGGTATATACTCTGTAGGAAGGCTCCTGCGGAACAACAGTAACGAATCCCAGCCTTCTCGGCCGATAGTGATGATGCAGACGAGGACGAGGAGAATAATGATGATGATGGTGATGATGCTGATGATGGTGATGATGGTGAGGAGGAGGATGCTGATGATGGTGATGATGGTGAGGAGGAGGCGACGATCCCCAAATTGTCCCGAGACTGAATGCTGAACGAAAACGGATACCAACTAACTCCGTGCTGTATTGCCCAGGATGGCGGCTGACATGCAAGGGAGACGTCAAAGCTGGCTGTTCTGAAGAGGGAGGTGGTTGGATTGGACTCTTCGCTGCGCGCTGCTCCCAACTGGCTGCCCTGAACTCGTGCCAGATTCGTGTGGCCACGTAGACCTGCCCTCCCCAAAAAGTCTTAACTTTTGCAGGCCCCGGCGTGTCGGGGCCTGGCACTCCTTCAATCGATGGCCCCAGGTTTGAGGCAGCGGAGGAGTGCGGAGGAGGGGGAGAAGGAGGGGGATTGTGGATGAGTAGAGGGAGGAGGAGGATTGAGGAGCGAGGAACTTTGATGATGATGATGATGATGATGATGATGATGATGATGATGATGATGATGATGGTGATGCTAGTGATGATGATGATGATGATGATGATGCTGATGCTGCTGCTGCTGATGATCATGATGATGATGATGATGATGATGATGATGATGATGATGATGATGATGATGATGATGATGATGATGATGATGATGATGAGCTGAGGAGCAGGAGGAGAAGGAGGAGGATCGGAAGAATTGAGGAGCATTGAGGAGGATGATTGAGGCGGAGGCGGAGGATACGAAGGAGGAAGGAGGAAGCGGATGAGGAATGAGGAGGAGGCTTGAGGACGAGGAGGAGGAGAAGGTGGATGAGGAGGAGGAGGAGGAGGAGGAGAAGTCGACGAGGGAGAATTGAGAAAGATTGAGGAAAAAGATGGAGGAGGAAGAGGAACAGCAGGATCGAGGAGGAGGAGAAGATTGAGGAGGAGGAGGGGGAGGAGGAGAAGGAGGAGCGACGAGGATTGATGATGATGATGCTGATGATGATGATAATGCTGAGGAGGAGGAGGAAAAGAAGGAGAAGGAGGAGAAGAAGGAGGAGGAGGACTGATGAGCACCAAGGAGGAGGATTGGGAAGGCGGAGGAGGATGATGAGGAGGAAGAGGATTGCGGAGGAGGCTTGAGGAGCAGGAGAAGGTTGTGGAGGAGGAGGAGGAGGAGGAGGAGGAGCAGGAGGATTGAGGAGGATTGAGGAGGAGGAGGAGGAGGCGGAGGAGGAGGAGAAGGAGCAGCAGGTTTGAGGAGGAGGAGGATTGAGAGGAAGGATTGAGGAGGAAATTTGAGGAGGAGCAGGAGGAGGAGGAGGAGGAGGAGGAGGAGGAGTAGGATGAGGAGGAAAAGAAGAATCTGAGGGGGGCGGAGAAACAGGACACAGAAACGGAACACAGGTCCTCCGTTGATGCCGGAGGGCCTCCGCCGCCGCTGCGGCAGAAGCCTCGGCGCGGGCGCCGCAACGCGTGCGCGGACAAGGAATCGCTTCCGCAGCGGAGAGGGAGAGAGAATGAGAGAGAGTAGAGAGAGAGAGAGAGTAGAGAGAGAGATAGAGTAGAGGCCTCCTATATGTGGTCCGGGTACATGGGGTCGAACGATCGCGCCGCATCGCCAATGCATCGCCGATGTATCGGCGATGCATCGGCGATGCATCGGCGATGCACCGGCGAAGCCGGCGATGCACCGGCGACGTCGGCATGGAGAACATCCGGCTCCACATCGAGCCGCATCGGCGATGCATCGACGATACGGCGAGATCCTCAGGCCCAATTTACTCCGAGCCCATCCAGGAGGCCTAGAGAGAGGGGCGGGGGCGGACGACATACAGTCAACCTTTATAAGAAGGACGCGCGGTAAGGATGCAAGGGGCCTTGGGAGGCCACGTCGACGCTTGGCGGGGGCGGGTTGCGGCGAGTGAAAAAGCGGCCCAGGATGGGCTGAAGGGGGAGGATGGAAGGGCAAACTTGGAAAGCTGCTCATCCTCACCATGCGGGTTGACTGTATGCTCCACTCTGCGGCGGCCTCGTTGGACTTCACGCACGCGGCGAGCTGCTGGTGGTCGCCGGCAAGCACCTCGAGGCGCGGGCGCGCTCGCGAGGGGCCCTGCGTGCCCTCCAGCCCTCGAGGGCCCCTCGGCGGCGAGCGAGGAGAGGCGGAGGGGAGGAAAAGGCCTTCCCTCAAGACGACAGGACTTCTCGCACAAGCCCTCGCGCCGTCCGAGGAGTGCTCGGCGTCTTCGGGGGCCGCGGGGCTCCCGAGCCTTCCGAGGAGGCCCGCCCCTTCTCGCTGCCCCCCCCCCCCCGTCGGGCGTTGGCAGCAGTGGGTTTAGTGGAACCTGGCTTAGTGATTTGTGCCGGGGGCGCCCCCCCGCCCCATCTCCACTAACTAGAGGAAAACGAACTATGCACATGCACCGATTCTGGCCAGGCCCATCCTGAGCCCAGGATCGGTGCATACGCCCTCCTACCTTGGCCAGGAAGGCATATGCACCGATCCTGGGTCAAAAATGGGCCTTGCCAGGATCGGTGCATGTGCATAGTTCTCTTCGCCCGACTAACCGGAACTGCCGTCACCCGAAAAACACCAGTTACTGCAGACCTGGTTTAGTGAATCTGGCCATTTGAGGGGCCCCAGGGCCCTACAGTCGGACCTAGGCCGGAAGAACATCCTTCAAGAATCTAAGACACTCCGCAGGCCAAAACACACAAAACATCCAATGGTGCCCTCCCCCAAGATGCGCCAGAACGTCCAACAAACACGAAGAACATTAGAGTACCCTCCTCGAACCGACCTCGATCTTATACCTCCCTCCGACGGTACCACTAACCGGGTCCCCTTACCCGGGGTCCTGGCTCTACCCGACCCTGGGCGCGCCGCCGATTCCGGCAGAGGGCAGGCGGGGAGAGACTGGCAGGGCGCGGGCGCGAGCGGGGCAAGGCGAGGGCGAGAGCCCTGCCCGGGCGCCTCGGGGTGGGATGATTCGGGCCTTGGCCTGGCACTGACCCCCGAGGAGGAGGAGGAGGAGGAGGTGGAGGAGGAGGAGGAGGAGGAGGAGGAGGAGGAGGAGAGGGACAGTTAGGGAATGGTCGTGGGGAAAACGACGTGGAGAGGAAGAGGGAGGGAGGGAGGGAGGGAGAGAGGGAGGGAGGGAGGGAGGGAGGTGGAGGAGGTGGAGGAGGAGGAGGAGGAGGAGGAGGAAGATCGAGCATAGAGGGGGCGGAGGAGCATCTAGCACCGAGGAGGAGCAGTGGCAGATCGAGCATCAGGCGTCGAGGAGGAAGAGGAGAAGGACGAGGAAGAGGGAGGAGGCAGAGGGAGAAGAGGAGGAAGCTCGCCGCCGACACCCGCCCTTGATCGTCCCTCCATCAAAACGCTCGATCACGCTCCTCTGCCGCTATCCCCGGCTGCCCGATCAAAGAGGCCCCCAGAGCCAGAGGGTCGCGACGGCCCCTGTTTCCACCAGGGCTCGAGCGAAACAGTGCTTTTCGTGCTCGTGCTGTCTCCGGTGTGCTTGGCCACGTCTCCGTTCTGCCCCTGCGAAGTGAGATTGGAACGACAACGGTCCAATCGCCCAAACACCGCTCAGCTCGAGCCCTGCCTCCCCACGGTTGCGACGACGGCGTCAGGGCCGTGGCCCCGTCCCGAGGCCGTCGAACATCAGCTGCTCGGGATCAGAAGCCCCCGCCCCTCCCCACAGGGAGGGCTCGAGATCCCCGGGGCCGGCGTCAGGCAGAGAAAACGACGTCAGAGAAGAGGGAATGACACATTCGGACCTAGGCCAGAAGAACATCCTTCAAGAGCATGAGACCCTCCGCCGGCCAAAACATACAGAACACGCAAGGGTATCCGAGCCAGGATGCGCAATAACATCCAAGAACCACGTAGATCACTAGGATACCCTCCCCGAGCCAACCTTGATCTTATACCTCGGTCCGACAGTAGGAGGCAGTGCGATTGGTTACTTGTGTAGTTGCAGTGACCGGCGGCGAGCTGGGGGGGGGAAGTGAGAAGGGGCAGGCCTTCTCTGAAGGCTCAGAAATTCTCGGGCCTTCTGGGAGGTTCTCTAGTCCTTCCCCGAAGACACGGACCGCCTTCTTCAGAGGGCCAGAGGGCGTCTGACAAGCCCCGCCGCCTTCCGAGTCGGCCTCCTCCTTCTCGGTCCCCGCCCTCGCTCGCCGCCGAGAGCAGGTGGAGCTCGGGCTGGCCCCCGTGTGTGGCCAGCTGGCCTCGTTCGCATCCTCGCCACCCTCCGGCAGCGCCCGCACCCCCATCGCGCTGAAGCAGCCACTTCGGGCCCAAAAGCGGTGCCGTGATGGACCGTGCGGTGACCTCGACAGTCCCGAAGACCTCACCGCACGGTCCGTCACCGCACCCTTTGTGGGAACCCGGAGGTCCCAGCATCCTCGGAGACCGACCCAAGTCCCCAAACAATTCGGTCACCCTGAGTCCCAACTGACTCAACACACGTTGTGGTCACCGCACTGTGTGAAGGCCCTGAGGTTCAGAACGAAGAACTTTGCTGTGCCGAGGTGGCGTTTCGACCCTTGCGGGACCCTGCCAAACAGAAAAACCTACTGATCAAATGCGTGCAGCGGGATACGGAAACACGTTTCGATGCTCATGTCATGCATGCGTACTTGAGCAGCGTCTCCATACCCTCGTTTCAACTTGCTTCCAGTCAGGCGCGCCTCGAAGCGGGCGCGGATGCACCTCATTACGAACGGCAAACCTTGTTCTGAGGGGTTTCGGTAAGCCACGCGCGGGCGGGAGGCTAACCGAACCTCGCCAGGCGCTGTTCATGGTCGTCCAACAGCCAGCGCAACCTCCACGAGGCAGGCGTCAGCGCAATTATTGATGCGGCACTCTGCCACTTGGACCGTAATGGGGAGGAGGTGGGTCCGAGCCAGCATGCATGCAAGGGAGGAAGAGGAGGAGAACGACGAAGACGACGAGGACGGCGACGACGATGACGACGACAATGGCGACGGCCACCCTCCCCGGGGGCGAAGCGCCGTCTTCCTGCCAAGCAGCATGGGGATCCAGCAGGACACCTTGGTCGTGGGGAGGGGCTGAGACAAACGGGGTGGACTGGGGGAGGGTCTCCTCCTCCTCCTCCTCCTCCTCCTCCTCCTCAAACGCTCCTCCTCCAAATACGCGCCTCCTCCTCACACGAGGACAAGAAGAGGCCGCGAGGAGGACGATATAGATTGGGGGCTGATCTTTTTCTTCCTCCTCCTCCTCTTCCCGCGCCTCATACTCCCACTCCTCCTCCTCCTCCTACTGGTGATCCTCTTCCTCCTCCTCCTCCTCCTCCTCCTCCTCCTCCTCCTCCTACCCTTTCTGGCCCACCGCAAATAATTGCAAGATGTGGCCACATTCGGGCTACTTTGCCCTCTCCTTTCTGCCAAGTGGGCGGCCGCTTGGGTCGCCCGCCGGCTTTCGTCCAAATGTGGGCTGGTCCTGCGGGAGCCGCGGCTTCCTGATGTCACCAGAAATGTGCGCCAGGAGCAGTTTTCGGACCCAGCCGTTTTCTGCCTGATGTTGCGTGCCAACTGCTGTGTTGCTGATGCCCTGTGCGGCTGGTGCTGCTCGTGTTGTGCTGCGGCGTGTTGCTATACGCTGCTTGCTACTTGGGCAACGCAGGTTGCTGCTACTGCGCAGATGCGGCACATCGCTTGGGGAGGGTGCGATGAGATGCAGGGCCATGGATGGTGGAGGAGACTTTCGACGCGGCAGGGGGGGTCAGCCTCCAGCGCCTGCGCCGCCTCGTCTATGATGACGACGTCGAACCTTGCTGCCCCCCCAATCGCAGTCGGAACGCTTGCAGAAGCCCTCTCTCCACCTCCACCATCTTCGCGTCCTCCCCCCCCAGTTCCTCCCCTCCAATTCCTCCCATCCAGTTCCTCCTCTGCAGCTCCTCCCATCCTGCCCGCTACTCGCCCTTCTCCCCTCCCACCCTCGCTCGTCCTCTTCCCCCCTCCTTCGCATACTCGCCCCCCCCGCCTACAACATTCACCACAAAACTTTCGTAATTACATTACGAAAATTTCACCACATGGCTGGAGGCACATATACGGTACCATACACAAAACGCATGCCATGATTTGCACCACATGTGTCGCACACAGAATGTGCAATCCACTTCAAAACCCACATTGGCTAACATGACCTTGAAAAACTTCGGGCATCCCCCTTGGGCATTCCCATTGGCGCACTTCCGTCAACCTCTCAGTTCCAGCGGCGTCGTCGTTAACCTCGAGCGAGCCGAGGCTGGACAAATCGCCAGCCTCGTCTTTTCAAGAGATCGAGGCAGTAGCAAATCGGACACCGCCCCTGGAGAATGAAAACACGGCGCAACACGCTGACCGATCCTGCTGAGAAACTTTCCGCGCTGGCCGCCAGCTCGGCTGGTCGCTGCACAGTGCTCGTGTCGCCAAAAGGGCGACGCGAGCGCAAGGCGCTCCCTTCGACATGACTCGACATGTTGAAATGTTGTTTTTGTTGTGTTGGGCTTGTTGTCGGGCCTTTCGAAGTTGCGTCCGCGAGCCTGGGACTCCAGAAGCCTCCAGGGATATCTGGGGAACCCCTCGGCGGGGCGCGGTCGATGGAAACCTCTCGGGCCCTTCATTCCATGCTTACCCGCTCGAAACTATGTTTCGGCAGTGGGGCGGGGCTGCAGCCGACGCCACGCATAAGGTAGTGCCATCCCAGCAGGTGCCCGTCGGATATCTCCCAGGGAGAAGGAGTCACAACTACGTTGCGCTTCCCGCGTCGTTGACGTAAGAAGCCTGGGCCGGCCGTCTGACAGGATCTCGACCGAACGCGCATCACCGAGCCAGCCATGCGGGTGCCAACACCTGCTCCTCCCGCCAGCCTGCTCCTCCTCACGAAGCTCGCAGCAAGACAAGCTTCTTCGGTTCGTTGTGGAGATGCAGCCTGCGCCACGACCGACGCGCTCTGTCGTGCGCAGAATGGCGCGCGGCGTGCGGGAACCAACCTGATGCCGGCAGTTTGGTCTTCCGCGGCTCACCCCCGCTGACGAGGAAACGATCCAACACCTTGGCCTGAACCAGCCAACCTTCAGCGTCAACCGCTGTACACGTGCTGGACCCTTTGCCATGACGCCACATGAAGGCGGCAGGCGGGCTTCATCCGCTACCGCGCGGATCCATCGCTGCGTTTTAGCAGCAGCGTGCCGCTCCTCTTATCATCATATTGTGAACAAACAGCCGCCCGAACCGAAGCGAAAACTTTCCTCAAAACGCCGCTGGTCGGATCACCAAAGGTCGACAGTGGCCAAGCAAACCAAATTAACTCTACCATTACCCCACCCTAGCTGAATCCAGATATGCCCGGCCAGGTGTCACTTAGCCGGGCCCAGCTTAGCCACGCGTGGCCTAACTGTCTGAGCAGCCAAGGAGCTCACGTGCTCATTGGAGCTCACTGGACAAAGATTAAAGCTCAGCTCAACTCCTATCTCACCATCAGAAAGGCATCATGTTGGTCATCGCTTCAGAGATGGCAATTGTTCTAGCTTTGGCTGTATCGGCAGCCGGCTCATGTTTCAGTTTTTTCCCCAACCATCCTGTGGTGTTGGGTCCTTGTTTTGAAGAGACGGTGCCCCGCGTTCCCTCCTTCCTCCTCTCCTCCTCCTCCTCCCTCCTCCCTCCTCCCACCATCATCATCGTCATCATCATCATCATCATCATCATCATCATCATCATCATCATCATCGTCATCACCATCATTCTCGTCATATTCGTCACGTCCGTCATCATCATCATCATCATCATCACCATCATCATCATCATCATCATCATCATCAGCATCAACATCAGCATCAGCATCAGCATCATCATCATCATCATCATCATCATCATCATCATCATCATCATCATCAGCATCATCATCATCGTGGCCCTACAGGGAGCTCCACCGAAGGCCCCAGTGGCTGCGTTCGCATGCGCCCACCGCACCCATTTCGGGACACCCCTCACGCGTTTCGCGGCCCCATAGGGAGCTCCATCGAAGGCCCCAGCGGCTGCGTTAGCATGCGCCCGCCGCACCCATGTCGGAACACCCCTCACGCGTTTCGCGGCCCCATAGGGAGCTCCACCGAAGGCCCCAGTGGCTGCGTTTGCACGCGCCCGCCGCACCCATTTCGGCACACCCCTCACGCGTTTCGCGGCCCCATAGGGAGCTCCATCGAAGGCCCCAGCGGCTGCGTTAGCATGCGCCCGCCGCACCCATTTCGGAACACCCCTCACGCGTTTCGCGGCCCCATAGGGAGCTCCACCGAAGGCCCCAGCGGCTGCGTTAGCATGCGCCCGCCGCACCCATTTCGGCACACCCCTCACGCGTTTCGTGGCCCCATAGGGAGCTCCATCGAAGGCCCCAGTGGCTGCGTTAGCATGCGCCCGCCGCACCCATTTCGGCACACCCCTCCCGCGCTTCGTGGCCCCATAGGGAGCTCCACCGAAGGCACCCGCGGCTGCATTCGCATGCGCCCGCCGCACCCATTTCGGCACTTCAGTCACACGTTTTGTGGCACCATAGGGAGCTCCACCGAAGGCCCCAGTGGCGGCGTTCGCATGCGCCCGCCGCACCCATTTCGGCACACCACTCACGCGGTTCGTGGCCCCATAGGGGGCTCCACCGAAGGCCCCAGCGGCTGCGTTAGCATGCGCCCGCCGCACCCACTTCGGCACACCCCTCACGCGCTTCGTGGCCCCATAGGGAGCTCCACCGAAGGCACCCGCGGCTGCATTCGCTTGCGCCCGCCGCACCCATTTCGGCACTTCCGTCACACGTTTTGTGGCACCATAGGGAGCTCCACCGAAGGCCCCAGTGGCTGCGTTTGCACGCGCCCGCCGCACCCATTTCGGCACACCCCTCACGCGGTTCGTGGCCCCAGAGGGATCGCCACCGAAGAAGATATGCACATTTGCGGTACTCACAATTGCATATGGTTGGGTCCTTCGCCAGGCTAATTTAATGCCTCGGCTGAGTTATAACCATAAGTGGCGCTTGCACCTTTCTCCCGAAATACAAAAAACATCATCTCTGGCCGGATCTGGCCCCGAACACGCGCCGATATGTGCCACACTCTTTGTGAACCCTCGTCCAGCACAGATATGAACTAACGCATTTCGGACATCGATTATAGACGTACACATATATACAACTGTACATATCTATACATCAAGACCTGCGTATATACATATTCATGTGTGTGTGTGCGTGGCGGCTCCTTCTGGAATGATGCAACTCGGGCCACATGCACGCACTCGCGCACGCACATCGAAATCAATACCCAGCCACTGGTCTCGTACGCCTTTTTATTACCGAGGTGTTGAACAACATATGTGAGGAAGCGCTTTGCTTTACCTCATTTGAGCTGTCTGGGCGCGCAGTCCAGTGCCCCTCAAACCATTACGGAGATGCGCGCATGAGTTCCTCAACTTGCACGGCCGCCCGAAGGGAGCGAGGGCCTAAGCTGATGACATCCTCAACAATCCGAGAGGAGGCGCCCGTTACGACCCCCTGGGCAAAACATGGGCTGGCTATGGCCCCCCTGGGCGCTGGGGTTATGACGAGAGGCTATTGTTTCCCTAAGCACCTCGTTGGTAAAGGCTTCTGCAACAAATCTTCCGACACTCGAAGACCCATCGCGGCCCCGAATCGTGGCCGCTCCATGTGCGATGCTACGTGAAACTGTTCTCGGATATTCTGCCGCAAGATTGCCGTGGTTGGGGTTGGGTTGGGCGGGCGGGTATGGTCGCGCTCGGCCACTGCAGTGGGCCACCAGCCTGCCCGCCCTCCCAGGACCAGCTCGGTCGGGGGTTGCTGAAGGTGCACCTGGTGCTCCCAGCTTTCCGCTCAACGTTGAAGCCCCCCAAGGCCCTCTGGGCCTCGTGAGGTGCACTGGAGGCCGTGGGCTTAGCCGCCCCGATACGCATCACGCAACCCGTAGCGTATTGACGCGGAGCTCAACACGTACATGGAAAACGTGCGTTTTGGCGCGATGGGCTCGCCAAAACGTGATCCGAGACATGGAGCCAGCACGCAGCGTGTTCACCCGGACGTTCCGAACACGGCACGCGTGGCGCTTCAAATGGGCGTAGCAGGGCAACTGAGGCCGCGAGGGGCTCCCTGGAAATCCCGTGGGCACCTCGGGCCAGGGGCGCTTCCAGCAGCACCCGACTAAGAGGGACCAAGAGGGGCCCCACGGGCTCGCGAAGATCTCGTGCCCCCCAGAGGCGCCGAGGCACGCGCGCGGCCCAGGAGGCGTGTCGGCAAGGGCAGAGGTGCGGGCAAGATTTCGCTGAATCTCCGGTGCGTCTTGAACTTTCTTGGAAGGGGCGCCACAGGGCCGAGGCGCACTGGATATGGGTAAAAATCTAGCCTCCAGGGGCAGACGTTTATCCATGCCCAGTGCGCCTTGGGTTTCTGGGGGAGGGAGCCCGAAACTCCAAGCTGCATTGGAGATGGACACAGGTCTTGCCCGCAAAAGGGGTAGGTCGTGGAATTCCGGAATCTTTCGCGGGCGAAGAGCGGTCCCACACAACTGCTTCCGTCACTGGGGGGCGCCGGTCCCAAAGCGGCTGGAGCGTATTACCGGACATTCCACCGTAACGGTACAACCTTTCCAGCCGCCCTTGGACAGGCGCTCCCCACGGCGAAAAAATTGCTATACCGCTCTTCGCCCGTTGACAAATATCGTGGTCCCCGCCGTGAGTTGAACAGGGACCGACTATGCAGGCATTCCCAGAGGGCTACCACACATATTC